TTTCAAGCAATACCATTCAAAATGCTTAGTGGTGCAGTTTTGAAAAGCCCAAGCGTGATTTTCTAAGTTTCTTTAATATCCTTACTCTTTCGATTAATGAGTAGCATACATTTGTGCTTCAACAAAAAGCAGATGACAGTTTCTGGTCAATCGTACGACAGTTAATACATTGTAATGGGGAGAAAATGGAGCCTGTGAAAAAGAGAGTCTTGAAGAGAGAAGCTTTGGATCTATCAACCTCAAAGCAGCGTCAACAGTCACTTCTCGCTCAGAGCGATTTGCAAGCTCTACGGATAGAGCAAATCATTTGATAAAAAAATAGTCGTTAGGCTTGAATACGAAATATTGTTTGACAACAATTAGTAGCCTATCGTTCGTCTATTGAGTATAGATTTCGACGGAATTGCTTTCACAGTTTCTAGCTGGAAAGAGTTTAAAAGGGTCTTCCCCAACATTGAAAAGTTCTTAACTATAGATGACACTAACTTTCAAGATATCAAGATTTACGGGTCCAACTGGTCCTTGAAGTTTACGATGAGCTATGAGGAAAAAGCCATCAAGATTTAAAAAATGAGACGACAAAGTAAAGACGAAAGAGATGCAAAGTAAAATCATTGAAGTTGAGCGTTAAAAAAAGTAACGTTTAATTATTTACTCAAATTTATTGTAAACTAAGTCAATTGTAATATACACACATAAACGGAAGTGTCAGATCATATGCTTATCGTAGTAATGGAATTTATGAAATTAATTTTAAAAAAAAGGTAGTAGCCTGCATAAAGCATAAGATGTTACTACACACCAAACGTTGTAAAAAATGTTGTGAAGGATTCAAATGATAACGATGGTCAAAGTATGTATAAAAAAATTATAGTACATGAGATTGTGAAACGGGAGACATTAAACAAAAATATCATGTGGGATATTGTGTACAATATTGCTTCTTTTTATGTAATAACCTTTGTTAATGCTATGAATTGTAGAAATAAATAAAATTAATTTATTCATCTCATTGTTAATTGACCATAAACTAACTACTTTCCTTATTCACTATGCGCCTATGTCAGATGGCGCCGTCGAGTGAGAGAAATTGTCCCTCACTGAGATCGTCAGAATGTACAGAGCCTTATAGGAAAATTTTTTAATATATCTAAAAAAAGGTTATTAAGAGTGAATTGACCAAATTAATCAGTGATTTGAGTGTGTATTATGTTAGTGTACAGTTAAAAATTTTTTTTGGTGTTGTAATCCCTGTTGCATGACTCCGATATAACATGATAAAAAAAATGATATAAGGCTAAATGTGTGCCTTTGCACCAAAATCCAATACAGTAGTGGTATTAATTTCCATGAGTTTAACATTAAAACTTTATAAGATTTCTAACGGGTCATACAATTTTTTTTTAGTATGCCATAAATCTGTGTAGTTTTCCTGATAAAAGTAGTTTGTCAATCGTGTTATATCAAATTTTTTTATCGGCAAAAATAATCAAAAAGCTTTGTTATAAGGTTTTGTAAATTAAATAACACTTGTTAAGTTTCATGCCATTACATACCAAAATATTTGTATGTACTGAATAATATGGTAAAATCCCTGTTGCAAGACTTTGGTGTATTATAAGAAAACTTTTATGCTTAGGTTATAGGGTCAAAAGTATTTCCGCACCAAACCTCGATAAAGGATGGTTTAAATACCGTAAACAGAACATTGAAACTGTGTTATAAGGTCTCATAAAGTAAATAATACTCGTGAAGTTTCATGCAATTACATACCACAATATTTGTATGTACTAAATAATATGGTAAAATCCCTGTTGCAAGACTTTGGCGTATTATAAGAAAACTTTTATATGCAGGCTGTAGGGTCAAATGTGTGTTTCCGCACTAAAACTAGATGCAGAGGTGGTTTAAGTATCCGTGAACTAAACATTAAAGCTTTACATATTTTCTGATTCTCCATACTCTTTTTTCTGGTGTACCACCAATTTTTGTCATTTATCAGATATTTTATTAGCCAAAATAAAACAAAAATTATACCAAGTTTTACAAGATAAATAAAATTAGTTACGTTAGATCTGCTAAAGTACCAGAAACTTTTTACATAGTGAATTTTATTATAAAATAGCATGTCAATGTAATTGAATCGAAGATATTTATGCATATGTTTTTACAACGGTTTCACTATTTACAATTTCGAAAATAACATACAAGAATAGCATCAAAATGAAATATGTGTTGAGTTATGATAATACATAATTTTTATGATAAAAGTAACTTTTGCAATATAAATTAAATAACAAGCTTTTTTCTAAGTACAGTTATTGTAGGTTTATTTGCTACGCAATACCAAAACATAATTTTTTTTTTAATTAAAATTGATAGTTCTGAATAAAAATTACAAGGATAGTAGGTTATAACATACAAATAATAGTATACAAGAATAACACTGGAAATAAAATAAACGCAGTGAAAAAAAGTGATGCTTGTAACATCGGTTTTACAATAACACTTATGAAAAAGCATTCGTGCACTGTATAAGGTACCGTTAAAGATAGGGTTATCTCACACAGCTGTGAAATCTAACAAAATCTGTGCCATCATACATCTCTTGTAAGAAATATCATATCCAAAACACTTTGACAGAACACACGAGTATCACTCACACAATTGTACGCTGGTAAAGTTAAAAATATTTAATTATTGCGTGAATCATTCGCCATGTCGCAAATATACAAAGAGATAACTCGTTTACGTTACATCTCGCACGAGACTTGTAAAAGAAGTACAAGCAGATCGGCTATCATACGCAAAGAAAAGCAAATAATTTAGTGAGCTGATGCGTCAAATTTATAGGTTCCTAAGATAAAAACATATGGAATCCATACGAGTAATCCCGGTACATAAAGATGTTCAATTTATAGGGAAAACCTGATATAGTTCGGGGACTACCTAGCTAGGTCTTTTCCCGTGAGCAACGGGTACATATCAGGATGTAGTATGTACAACTCTGATCCTACTTAAATAGTATATTACGACCCAAGGCCGGAAAAGTAAAATAAGTCTGAGATCGTCCGAGGCGAAGCCGATGATGACAAACGGACGATGTGAGGCTTTTTTACCTACGGCCTTGGTCAGTATGCAATTTTTCTGTGTCCTTCGGCCAGGAAATCGAATAGCCGGGCCGCCCAGCGGCCCAAAAATTCGACTTTCAGACGAGGTGTACAGAAAAAAATATACAAGGAAAACATATATTGTTTTATCCAGTATGTACCCGAAGTAATATATGACGAATAACGATATATATGTACTATAACAAAGTCTAATGTTTCTAAAACTCAAGTATATAAGTGGTGTATCAAAAATATAAAAATTTTGTAATTACAAAAGTAGACGATATAAACAATAAGTAAGTGAATTTTCAATAAACTCGAATTATTACCTTTTTGTGCAAAACCTGATACAACTTTATAAGTTCGAATGTATTATAATGTTATGTATGTGCATTTGCACCAGGCCGATTCCATAAAACTAGATAGTTGTGTAATATATGAGGAAAGAATTCGTAATAAGTTTTTTTCCCCATATAAACCTATTCTGCACACATTTCAAAGTACCGAAAAAAACAATTATAAAAAACGATCAAAATTTTCTCATAACAACTGAAAACCTGCATACCTGAAAATAAACTTTTATGATTAATAAAAAAACTATATAAGCTTTTTTATATTTTTTATTGGCATCGCTTGATTTAACTCAGTAAAATAAACTAATAAAATAAAAGCATTCTCATTTTATATAAATCGAATCAGAATTAAATCATAAGTAATTAAATACAAAAAAATTAAAAAAAAATTATTTTATTTTATAATCGGTTTATAGGAAATTACTTGAATGATATTGTTGATTCATCAGAACTGCCCGTTGAACATTTACATCATTTAAGCTGGTATAAAAATACCCAGACGGCAACCACAAATCATAAAGAATTCTT